TGGTTTTTCTTTTTTCCAGAGTTTCAGATTCATTTGAAAACTATGGATGTCAACGTTACTAACTAAAAATGGAGAGAGGTTTTCGCTGTGTTGTGGTCAAAAAACAATTGACTTATAGCAATAATTGAACATATAAGTACATTATTCAGTCTTCTGGCAATGTTAATTACGGTACTTCACACGTTATGTAAAATTTATTACAGTAAAAAGTCTGTAGGGTTCTAAAAAATATTAGGAAAGAATTGATAATGGTGGAATAGGGCTCAGATCTTGGAAGAAAAAAAGAAAGGGTAGAGATTGGAAAAGTATTGGTCGGAGCGCTTGGATTAAGCCATACGGTCTATTTCATATTTGTGTCAGTAATCATCTCACCCTCAAACCCACTCCACGGTGCAACCTGGGAAAGCTGAAGGAGCCTCACCAGGTAAAAATTGTTCAACTGAAATTGCTACAATCTGCTTTTGTTTTCATTTTTCATACAAGTAAGGCTCATTTTATAATAGGTTCCCTGCGATTTTTGACACACTAATCTAAAAGCGTGTGACCGGTCGCCCTTTCCTCTGGAAGGTAGCCGACACCGTCGCATTTCGTCGTCGCGATGTTTACCTGCGCTGTCATCAGCTTCAGCTCCCACATGTGTGAGTCGTGCTCAGCTGTCCTTTTGGTGCGAGCCTCAGCCATCTCATTGCGCATTCTTTTGGTTCTCTAACCCTCCGTAAGGGGTCCAGATGGAAGATGGCTTTTACAGGTGCCTCGGAAATGTTGGAAGTTGTTAGGTATCGAGTAAGATTGGCAGCTTCATGCTCCTAACTTTCCTGCCTTATCGCCCTAGTCACAGTCTGAAAGCCTTCCCAAGTGTCGTTTCAGACATCGGCTAAGTTTAGACATAGAGTGAATGGATCTGAACCTTATAATCAGGAAAATAAGGGGACATTAGACAGTCTTGTTCGCAGCCTATCTATACGAAAGCGGACGTAACCCTTCAGGGAGAAGAAAACGTGGTGGAGTGATAAGGTCAATAAGTAAAGGATGAAATTGATAACTGCACAACATTATAAGTAACAATGATCAAGAAGTATGAAAAATCAGATAATTCCTACTTTATATAATTATTGGGTAAAATTGATAAAAAAAATTTAAAATTTGGTTAAATTAGTGGCTAACACTATTACATATTCCTATTACTTTTACCTTATTACTATATTATTATAATATGGTCCAGTGCTATGTTTGGAGGTTAGGTTCCATTTAATTTCGATTTCCTAGTTTTTCGGCTCCCAAGAAGCTTTCCCAAGAGATCGAGAACGGAAGTGGCTTTTTCATGGATACCGTTTCTTGGGATATCCGAATAAACCAGGAATAAACTGGAGAACATTCACACTCATAACCGGTTTTCTAATGAGAAAACCGCCGAGGTGAATGGTCGGTCTAGTACAAAACATATTTCGGGAGTGATGGTGTGTACAGAAGCGGCCACAAGCAAGCACGGACACTGCTTGCACGTCGGCTTACCATTGTTTCGGGGCGGATTTTTTACGCTTTCCAGTGTCCAGTGGCGAACGGACTGTTTCATGAGAAATTCTCCACAACGACTTTGGGGGAGGATGGATTTTTGAAATTGTGCGAAGCCATTGCAGCTGAACAATATATAGAGCTAGGAACACGGCTGTCGAAAAACACTTTACTGAGGGATCGTACCTGGCGCAACGGAAGGAATCTGCAGTCCCACACTCCTCCAGTCAAAGTTTGTCATTGCAGAAGATAAAAAAAGCTCAAGAAACAAGCACACGAATGGAAGGGGCTTCGAAGGAGAGGAGAGCGGATAGGGGGGAGGTGTTCATTGGAATGCGGTAATTGCAGTTCGAAGCCGCGGGAC